CCCCCCCCCCCCCCCCCCCCCCCCACGCTGTGTGGTACCAAACGAACTATTCCTTGGAACTCAAGATTGCTGATGATCCGGCTCCCGTCTTGGCCGTTCGACCGTCGTGCCGTGAAATACAGTCTGTCTAGTAGGTTTTCCGACCCTCTACGGGGAAAACAGCAAATACACTATGTAGATGGTGAGCTTTCGTTTTATTCTGTTGCACCCATTAGTATTGTGCGCCTCCGCCCCCATGTGCACCTCTCTTGTTGAACGACGCCGTGCCGCCTCGCCCTTTGCCTGAGGTTCGCTCCCCCATACGCACTCTTGTCACCCCTGTCGTGTGTGCGAGGTCACTGCTATTTTTGCCCTGTTGGCGTGGTCTTGGCGGCTTGTTTTTGCTGCGATGTCCTCGTGAATTTTTCTGCGTGTTCTCTTCGCTCTCGGGCTTTCTTTTTTTTTCGCCTTGGTTCTTTCCTTGTTGACGAAAACCAGACGTGCTTCATCTCAGTTGTAATAGTGATGTTAAGAAACATCGATCGACGCTGTTTGTACGGACATGCGAAATGGTGACAAGATTACCTCCGAATCCGCGTTGCCCCTCCTCCTGTCTCCCCTCATGGACCACTTGACTCACAACGCTTCATCTCGCGCCTCCGCCACGGGGCTTTGTTACACAACAAATTCACCTCTTCCACAGATAATCTTTGGGATAGATCAGCAATGACTTCTGGCGTCAACCGGCCTTGTCATTATGGCTACCTGCTTCGTGATGCGCGTACCTCTCTTGAAACCTTTTTGCCTCCCCCTCCTCTCCGTGCTTTCATGGCGAAAAAGGCGGCCTACGAAGCGGCGGTGCAGACGGGCATCGTGGTGCCGACGAAAGACCCTCCCACCGACGCGCTGGCAAGGGCGACCCTCAAGCGACCGGACGGGTCGGCGCTGCTGCTCATGCACGAAGCCATCGGAAACCTAGTTCAGGCCAACGGTGCCCTTTGTCAGGTACAGCAGTACAGCAGCAGCGTGTTGTCGATGTTTGTTCCCCGCTTGCTCGATCTCTTTCAAGCGGGGCCGCTGCAGGGTGCCTAGGACCGTGCCTGCCATACATGGCCGTACAGTAGGATTTTTTTTTTTTCCCCCATTCATGTGTGCATCATTTGACATGTTCGTACCGCGTTTACCTTGGAGGTTGTCGACCATCGTTCGGTGTTTTTTCTGTCCCTAAGACGGCGTGCAGTGAAGGGGGTATTCGAGAAGAAAAAAAACACTTTTCGAGGCAACGCAGGCTTCCACTTTCTTGTGATGCGGTTTGAAGTACAACACATCTAGTTAGCCGGCCAAGAGCCCCCCCCCATTTGTCGGACCTTGCATGTAGACCAAACTAGCGGAGACCGCTAGTGGGTGCAAGTTTCAGCGTTCCTGTCAGACTTCCACTTGGATCAATATAACGGCAGTGATGTTGCACCATGATGGGCCGTCGTTTCCCCCCCCAGGAGTCATCGTCACTGTCAATTTTTTGCGCGTGCGGGGATTATTGGTGTTGATTTTTTACATGTCGTTCGTGAGACCATCCCCCCCCTCCCTCCATGCGCGCTCGCTCACTTATCTTGACCTGCAGATGATCGCCTGGGAGAAGGCCAAGGTAAAAGCGCTCCGGGAGCAGGTCCGCAGCCTCGGGGGTAACCCGGACGTGCGCGCGCGGGCGACGGCGGCGGCGGCGGCGGCGGGGCAGAAGGCGGGTCGCCGTGATGGGGGCGGCGAAGGCGACGGCCAAGGGGCGGGCAAGAAGGGTAAGGGGGCTGTGGCTGTGCCCGCGGCGGGCGGTGTTGTCTCCAAGGCCGGCGGCAGCAGCCCGTCTGCCGCTGGTGGCGGCGGTAGTGCGGGTAAGTCTCTCGGCGGGGGTAGCGGCAGCGGCGGCGGTAACGGCAGCCGTTTGGTGGTGGCAAAGACAAAGAGGGCTCCGGTGAAGGCGGCGGGATCGGCGGCGGTGGCGGCGGCGGCGGTGGAGCCGAAGGCAGGGGCGCCAAAGGGCAAAGGCAAGAAGAAAGTGAACGCTGCCGTCGCCGCCGCCGCTGCTGCTGCCGCCGAGACCGAACAGGAGGAGGAAGATGAAGACTCCAGCACGGATACGGGGGAGGGGGGGGAAGGGAGTTCCAGCGACGAGGAAGGGGGGGAAGCAGAAGGCTCTACGCAGATCGACGAGGGGCAAGAGGAAGAATCTGATGACGGCGACGACGTCGACGACGACGACGACGACGACGAAGATGATGCCAAGACCACCTCTTCTTCCGGGGCCTCCGCCGCTCGCGCTCCGTCGCCCGCGGTAGCGGAGGACGACGAGGACGACAACAGCAGCAGCAGCGGCAGCAGCGACGAAGGTGATGCCGATGAGGCTTTGAGGGACTTGGCACGGCGGCCGGCCGTCGCCGCCTCCGCTTCCGTGGGAGCGGAGGGGGAAAGCTCTAGCGACGACAGCTCTGACACGGACAGCGAGTGATCGCCGCTATCTACCAGCTTCTTGCCAATGTGACCCTTGGTTGTTGCACCTCGGGACTAGTATTGAAACGGGTGGTTGTTCGAGGTTTGGAGCCGAGCCGACCAGCAGCAGTCGCCTGTGATTATTTTTGCCTCTAGAGGCGCGCCGTATAATAACGGAAGGGGGGCCTCCTATTGGGCAATGGCTTCGTTTCGGATGATGTTTCCTGAGGACACCGTTACTTTACCATGGCTGTCATCAGATTTCTCAGCCTTGACCCTGAGTTTATTGTTGGCTTGCAAGAGTAGAGAAGAATTGTGCATACGTATACCCGGTATGATGTTTACGTGGTGAGTGGTGAAGTCATCTCCCAGTTTGTTGTATACGGATGGGGTTGAGTCTGTTGCTAAGTTTGAACACTGTCAGGATGAGGGCATGTCCGCCCCACTCCTCTTGTTGTATTCCGATAACACATAGGTAAGAGAAATGCAGAAGAGCACAGTCTTACCGAATATCAAATTGCTGGCATCTGGTGTGGTCGTGATTTGTGATGGAGGTACAGCCCGGAACACGTGGCCTTGGAGACCAAATATGGCCTCCTGATGCAGCTTAGGGTCGACCTGGTCGTCTTGTTCCTTCGGCGGAGAATAGGAAGGATAGCAGCGCACGCACACACCGACCGGTGGGGTCAGCGGTGATGGTGTGAACGGTTCTGACGCCAGAGGGAGACCGCGGTGATGGCCGTATCCCTGCTTTCGCCTCTGTACTTCATAGCTATGCCGCAGGCCCCACCCGACGGGGAAAGAAAGATTGAATTATGGGAGTGAATGCGGAATACCTGGAGGGCAATAGTCATGGAGGTCTCACCATGACACACTCTCAAGCCGGTCACCCGCCGCGACCATGACGGTTTGGGACGTGATGGGTGTGGGTTTTCGGGGGGGGCGGTCAGTTCACATCATCGTCAATATCATATCACAATCAACGGGGGCAATATGCCTTTTGTCATGGTGTATATTCGAACGTCGGTCAACCAAGGACAGCCACGGGGGTTCAAGTTGGCATCCTAACTCAATGGTACTGAATGAAATGTGTTTGCCAGATCGGTGATGAACCTTGTCCTGGGTCGTGGGTAGCAATGCTCCGAAACGACAGTCTGGACTATCGTGAAATGGTTGCTGAGGGAAAACGTCATGCGGTGTTGGTCGCAGTAGGTCCCTTCTGCTGGGCTCACCCTGAAGTGAAATTATGAAAGAACATATACATTTACTCCTGATCCAAGCTCTGGTGTGAATCTCAAAGATTTGTGAACGGCCCATCGCAGCGTCAACAAGAGTTCTGGATTTCACAAGGTGTATTTCGGAACCTGTCCAAACACTATGGTGGCTGGATGGTGGAGGCACGGCAGTAATGATGTAGCCCAGCCGTTGCCCGATTCGTGTAGGTACGATGCCGGCTGTTGCAAACGAAATACCACCGGTTCTCGTTGAGCGGCCGCGGTAGCAACAGGTGCCTCCAGAAGCGTGATGATGTGAACGGGGAATGTCACACTTGCGAATTTGAAGAAAAACACTTTGCTACGGGGTCAAACAGGGATACTTGGCAGGATGTTGTGAGGTCGACTGTCATTCTGAGTACGATTCGCCGTGTCGTCTTGGTGCGGAATGAATTATTGCGTCAAACGGATAAATGTAGGAAAAACCGAAAACGTCTAGGCCTCTCGCTTGTAGTGAACCGGAAGGAAATTGTCAAGAACAGCGTCAAAGGTTATTATCGGATTTTTTCCCACGAGCAGCGCATATGAAAGATGGAAGAGTCTCTACACACTCGGGGACAGCCGCTGTACTTAGAGGGCAGAGAAACAAATATCGAGTACAGCGGTCTCCGAAACATTTCGTTGATGAAGCGGTAGAGTCGCTGATTTTCACCAAATGAAATGAACTGTGTGAGCGTTAGGAAATTCGGGCGCCTTGCTTACCTTGTTCGGTCTGGGAGGGAGTAAACCCAGGCCTCCTGACCATCGATTAGGTAATATATTTATGTGACACATCGGCCCATATTTGACGTCGACCCGTTTCACTCTACATACCACGCGGTAGTCTACATCCCCAAATATATACGTGAAGTAACAACAAAAGACGTTATTGAGTCCAGCACGATATTTTCATTCTTCATCTATCTGTAGGCATCTTTCTCAGAGGCATATCCATCCACTCATGCGAAGGGACATAGACACCTCTAGTAATCTTCTTCATGACCCAAACTGACATGACAACCTGGTGCCGGTAATATACTGGACGAAGTAGTTTGGATTCCATCTGGTGTTGCCGGGACTATTCCCGCCCCTCTCTCGGACAAAAGTGGGTACTCAGAAATCCAGCTCGCGAGAGCTCCATACCATTGTAGGCAGATGCGAAGGTGTACCGATTCTGGTAAAAGTCAATCGACGGGTACACTGCGAATCGGGTCCTCCTTAACACTCTCCACCCACAGAATTTACCCTCAACTGGGAACCTCTTGTGGCCAGGACGGGTAATTCGATGGAAGTGTCACAAGGTTCTTTATAGGATCGATTCCAAGAGGTGTTCTCAGGACTGACACACATTGTGTCCATGGGAAAATGTCCAAGTCAGGAGAAAAAATGTGCACCCAAGGAGGTTCGAACCAGTATCTATCCTGCTGACGCCATATGATAAGGTGTACCGATTCTAGTAAAAATCAATAGACGGAAACACCGCGAATCGGGTCCCAAACGCCCCAAAACCCAACTCTGACACCTGAACAGCGTAGTCAGCGACTATACACAGCACGGGCACTCACAGAAGAAGATAACACACCTCTCCAGGAAAGAACACTCGGTGATGTTTGTTTTGGACACGGAAAAAACGTCAATCAATGTATCACACCGGTGACACAATATAGCACACCCCCTACTGTTACAAGGCGTCTTCAATCACGGAGCCCCCATTATCACACCTACCTGGTGGCTCGTGCTGGTGGTACGGATGTTCACAGCGCGCCGTGCACACACACGAACAGAGGCACACAGCTGATATGCACACAGATAAGGACAATATGGAGGTGGAGGAGGTACACAACCCTCCTTGAACAACCCTGCTGGTAGTGACGATGCCATCAAAGTCGGCCCTCGTATGACACCCCTCAAAGGAATGTGGCGGCCACAATGTGACGACAGGAGAGACCTTCCTGGTTTATGACACCCCTCTAAGGAGTGTATGTTTTTGCAGAATAATAGAGGTATCACACACCCCTAGGTGTAGGAATATTTTGAGTGCGGGGGCAGAAATTAGTTGGCAATAGAGATACTACACCCACCCCCTTTTTATCACACCCCTCCAAGGAATGTGTGGGAACCGCAATTTGCTGGCAAAGTTGTTATCACACCCCGTATTATCTCACACCCCTGCAAGGAATTGATTGTGGAGCAGGTAACAATGTTATCATGCCCCCTTATTATGACACCGACCGGTGCCACAAGATGGCACACACACACCCATTCCAGGAAAGCATACCCGGTGATTAGTATTATTGTAAACTCCAAAATCTTATCACCGGGGTGTGCTTTCTTGTGTCACTTTCGGTTACCCAGCGGCTTCTACTAATATGTTTTTCATGTGCCCACTTGTTGTCTAGTTTTTGACCCACTCTCGTCCGAATTGTACGTACCCCAATGCGTACCCACTTTTGACCACTTCCGGACATCGGACAATCGACCTCCACGTTACCGCACGGCAGAACATCGAACGTCTCACAACTCCACAACATCGTATAATTTACATGGCATATTTCGTATCCATGGATAGATACCGACTGCGAAGGAAACGTTGCGCCTACAACCAACCATGGAACCGCCAGTAACTGACGGAAATGCGCCCGCGCTTGGCTCTGCGCGGGCGCCCAGTAGGGAAACTTCCTGGGCATGCTGCCCTCACGACGAGTCGGCGCACTCGGCGCGTGGTGTTGTGTGTGTGTGTTTCTTTTGGGCTGTGCTGTTCTCTGTTCCGCCTCTTCTTGTTCTGTATGCGCGATCCGCTGGTTTCGGATTGTCCGTTGTGTGTCATGCACTATTTGTGGCGTGCAGTGAGTGCGCTGCTTGCCGGACATCTGCCCGTACCGTGCCATTGCCGTTGGAGACCGAAGCGGTCTGGCGGTCTGGCATGCTCTGACATACATGTTCCCCCGCGGAGTCGGTCCGCAGTCGTTTTTTGTTCTTGGGAAAGATGCCATGGATACGAAAGATGCCGTGGATGCGGTGACGTTCCGAGGCTGTTCAATGTTCTGCTGTGCGGCGACGTGGAGTTCGATTGTCCGATGTCCGGAAGTGGACGAAGGTGGGTACAATTCGGACAAAAAATTGAGTAAAAAATAGACATAATGGGGCACATGAAAAGAGTAGTAGAAGCCGCTGGGTACTCATCACCTGGACCCACCTATCTATATGTCGGACAAAGGTGGGCACTCTGTTGAGGCCTTGCGCGCCGCGGCAGTATTTGGGCCAAAGGTGTGCCTGAAAGTCGGAAAAAATGAGATGCCCGTGCTGTTTATGGTCCCTGGCTACGTTGTTCAGGTATCAGAGTTGGGTTCAGAGGCGTTTGGGGCTCGCCTATGGAGCTCGCGCGAGCTGGATTTCTGAGTACCCACAATATTGTCCGAGAAAGGGGTCTTGTATTGTGTCCATTTCCCCAATAAATACCCCGAGGGAAATCGTTGGATACCGATGATCCACGTATGTAGTCAGCATCCGAGCATGTCGAACTCGTTGGGCTGAGGATGCGTTTTGCAGTGTTTCATTCTGGCAAGAGCATCATACCCCCCCTCTCCAGTTGCCAATTTCATTCCCATCCGATTGAGCGAGGATGGCAAACATACTCGGGTTTTCAACAGAAGAGATGTCCGCCGCGACTATAGGTAAGATTGGTGCTCTCGTCCAAAACCGCATGAACGCCATCACGTTATGCATCGACGAGATCATCACCAGTTGCACTGGCGTGGCGCCCCCCCCTCTCGAGTCTTGATGTCTTCAGCATATTCTTGTCCACAGCCTACCGCACTTCGTCCCCTGTCCGCGGCCACAATTTCTACAAGTATTTTTTATCTGAGCGTCGTTGCTTGTCACATGGGTATTGCTCAGGCGCATGGGTATCATGCAGAATTAGTTCTGATACAAGGCTGTGCGAAATGTACCGATCGGTGTGCCGTGACCCGCCTGCATCTATCTGCACTTACAGAGTGTGGCAGAAGCAGTATCGTATCCAACTCATTGCAAGTGCCCTTGTCAGACGACATTCGGTCCCCGGTAAGAGCCCCTCGACGCCAGGGAGCACGAGAGAGAGTGAAATATTGTCGTTTGCACATGAAAGGTAAACTACGCGGGGTGCAGCAAGCACGTTCTGGACGTTACTTGGGGCACTGGGTAGTCGGCCGTGTTAGGCCGAGAGAGAGAGATTGAGAGAGAGTTGGAGAGAGAGTGGGAGAAGGAAACTTGATTGGAGA